CACCCATTCCAACCATTCTTGTTCTGCTAGCAACACTACCCTAAAAAATAACAAAATATTCAGTAAAGCAACTTATTTAAAATTTATACATGAAGTAAATAAAGGAAACTATATCACTTTTTCTATTGAACCCTTTGGTCTACCCCTTCATCTTCCAGTTGGAGCATTAGGTGTTGCTCTTGGGCCAACAATTTGTGTTGATGTTAGTGCAGCAGGGCCAACAGTTTGTGTTGATGTTGGTGCAGCAGTAGGGCCAGAAGGAGGTCTTGAGCTTGGTGCAGCAGGGCCAGAATGAGGTCTTGAACTTGGTCCAGTAGCAGGTCTTGAACTTGGTCCAGCAGTAAAGCTTGTGCCACAAGCAGGTGCACCAAGAGGACACTTTCTTTTATTGTGACCCTTGTTATGACAAGTGCTGCATGATATCTCAATTCCTCTTTTGGATAATTTTTCCAGATTTACTGGTTTCACCTTGCTCTTTCTTCCTTTTCTTGCCAGGCCTTCCTGGCATCTTTCGAATAGGAGGTGGTATCACATAGATGTTTTGTGATTCTGACCACATTTTCAGATTCATAACTGGCTGAATGAAGTAGTTGTATGTCTTCCTGTATGTTTCTCTGTTATACCAATGAGAAATGTAGTTGATTGGGTCCAATTTCCTATGGTGAAGAGCAGCTATTGCATAAGGACATGGTATGCCTTTCAACATCCATGCTCTACAACTACATATTTGCCTTTGAATATCTACTACATGTCTGTATGGTCCATGAAGTACCTCATACCTTGTATCTGAATTCCATTCAATGCTGCATTTCATAGACTTAGTTGTGTTATCTTGTAGAACCTTCATTGCCATTGGAGAAATGTCACAGATCCAAGTATTGCAAAACTCTCTCATTTGCCATATTCTTTTCATCATTTTCACCCTAATTTCTTCAAGCATTGTAATTATAGTCTTATGCCTTGCTGCTAATATCCATGAATTGAAACATTCAACCATGTTATTGTCTACAACATCACATTTTGAGGTAAAATTGAAGTAAAGCTTGCTTCATCTTTCAAGATTATAATACAACAAGTGATCAACTATATTATTGCCCAACCTTTTCATATAACTAATGTTATCTTTTAACTCAGCCTCAAAAGTAGACCTTGCACACCTCCAGAAACATTTCTTTCTCTTAAGACCTCTCCATCTCTTTGACCAGTTAACAAGGATGTATCTAGCACACATTCTATGCTCAACATTTGGCAAATGATCAGTTATGGCAATTTCAAGACCCTATAAGAAAATTCAAGACATGAAACTAAGAAACTAAGACATTAAAGAAACTAAGACATTCATAAATAAATGGCATTCAAGACATGAAATAAATCAATAAATATTCTAACCTTTTGCATATCTGATATGATTGTGAGGTCTGTACCATCTCCCAACTGAAGATCTTCCTTTAGAAGTTTGACAAACCAAGCCCAAGTAAACTTATTTTCAACTTCAACTACTGCCCAAGCCAGTGGTAGCATTTGATTGTTCCCATCTTTACAAACAGCAACCAATAATTGACCTTTAGATACTCCCTTTAGAAAACAACCATCCAAACCAATGCACCTCCTACAACCAGCCAAGAAGGACTTCTTCATTGCATCAAAACATATGTAGAAGCCTTGAAACATTTTTCTACCTTTTTCAAATGTTTCTTCATGAAGCTTGACTACACATGTACTACCTGGATTAGTTCTTAGCAACTCATCTTTGTAGTCCAAAATCCTCCCAAACTCAAGAACATAGTCACCCATTAACTCCTGTAATACTTTGTTTCTTGCTCTCCTACACACTGTTCTTCCAACATATAAATCCAATTCTTTTTTAATAAGCCCTTGAAACTCAAAGATTCTAATGTCAGGTTGTTCCTTTATCCTTTCACTGTAGTGACTAGATAAGAACTTGCTATTACAAAGCTTGTTCCTATTAGTAGGAACACATTTGTAAACTGGATTGTATGTCTTTACAACAAAATTATTTGTCCTAGAATCAAAGCTAGCAAATAAAACCCAAGGACAGCTAACTGTACACCTAACCCTTACCCTTGTTGGTTCATTAATATACATTTCAATTGCAACATGTTCAGCAACAACATATTTGGTAACAACAGATCTAAACTCATTAACACTTTCAAATACAAGACCCAATTTCCACACTACTTTCTGAGAAGATATATCAAATACAACTCTATTCACCTTCTTTCTCCTTCTTGGCTTAACTCTCTCTCTTTGTTGAACCTCTTCATCATCACTGAAAGCATCTGGATCTGTTTCAAAACTGGCAGCTTCATCTGAGGGATAATCAGGCTCATCACCAGCTAGCTTGCCTTCTAAGTTATTTCTATTACCACCTGTAGATTCATCATACGCAGCATCTGGCCCATATTTTTTATGTTCCTAACTTGACATGATCAAGCAATAGAGCTCTTTCTCCCCTTTTCCTTCTCTTTCTTTTACTCCTTTCCTCCCTAAAACTTCTTAGTTCATCATCTATATCATTCCCATTAATTCCCCCCCTCCCATTCAATGATTCTCTATCTGAATATTGTTCATTAGAAGGATGGACAAGGTCAGAAATTGGATCAGAGGAAGGATGAACATGGTCAAGAGTTGGATCAATAGAAGGATGGATAGGGGTTGGAGTTTGATTAGTAGGAGGAGGAGTATTTGGAGCAGTGAAAGAGTGTACATGAGAAGATGTATTTGAATTGACAAAGGCAGGGGCATAAGCAAGGGCAGGGTTTGAGGCAAGGTTTGAGGCATTTTCTTAGGCCTTATGTGTGGCATTTTCTTGGGCCTCATGTGTTGGTTCTAATTCAGCATCAAAAGATGCATTAGGCCCACTGTTTTGAGATGCTCCCTTACCTACTCCACTTTCCCCATATTCTAATAAAGGTGGGACCAAAACTGGATCAGCAATAAAGTGACAAAAAACAGTCCAAAATATCTCCATGACTCAAACACTCAGTAATTAAAGTAGTATCATAGTCAGATTTGATTTCTAACATAGCAGTACATCTAGGAAGTTTCACATACAACACACATTGTCCAGGTTCATACCCCAACTCTTTCAGACAATCCCTCAATTCAAAATAAGATAACCTACCTATATCAACATCTAAAAACTCATAAACTCCTTCACCATGATATGGTTTCCCCTTGTATCCCTTTTTTCCAATCTTAATAACACCACGTGATAAAATCTCAAAGTAATCAATTCAAAAGACATTTTAATATGAAAATAATGTTATCAGTTGACCCTCAACAAAAACGACAAAACATATACAACAACAAAATTCATACAACAACAAATGGGAATTGTAACACCCCGTATCCGAAAATAGACCATATTGCAGAGTTCTGGTGTTGCAGGTGGCACTCACGGGCACCATCCACGGATCGTAAGAGGACCCACGGTCCGTCCTGCAGGTCCGTGGTTCGTGTCAGCAAACTCCCCCAGAACTCAGCCAGAAATTCGGCCAAGTGTTGACCCACGGTTGGACCTACGATCCGTAGGTCAGGTCACGGATCGTGGTTCGTGTCCGTGGATCGATGCCCCTAAAGCCCAGCTTCAGTCCCGATTGACGGTTGACCAGCAAGGACCGTCATTCGATGCACGGTCCGTAGGTCTGACCGTAGGTAAGGGTTAGCAGCCAGTTAGATGAAAAATATGATTTGGGTCAACTTCAAATTGTCATAAATTTTAGCACAAAAATAATTGTGTGTCCCATGACCTATGATATGATAAATAATTGAATCCTCTTTCCAACGCCACCAAGTTTGCTAAAATTCGACCTCCGAGTAAAAAGTTATGCTTGTTTTAGTGAAGCCCTATCGACAGACTCGACCGACGACTCCAATCGACGGACCTTCGATTGACCTACGGCCCGTCAGTCCAATCCGTCGGTCACTCAGACAACAATTAAGTCAGGGGTCTTTTGGTCTTTTCCTATTTCATTAGACCCCTAAGATACGTCGTTTAGACCCTAAATCATGAGGTTTTAGTCAGCTTAAGACTAGAAACATAACTAGAACTTATCCAAGTCAAATCATTAATCAAAACTTAGAAAATTAGAAGCAAAAGAGGAGAAAAAGGTTAAGAACCCTAGTTCAAGAACGCAACAAGTTTTCTTCAGGTCCAGCCCAGAAATCAAAGGATTTCTCCGTGAAATTCGTCACCAGGTATGTAGGATTTTCACTAGTGGGTTCCTTTCACCCATTAGGTCCCTAGAATTCAGTCAGATTCTTGATTCAATGATTATGAACAGACCTAGAGTTTCTAGAATTACAACAGATCATCATGAATTAGTTATTAGTATGTTCCAAATTAGTTTATCATGTTATTTCTCAGTTTATTGCATAAATTTCAGAACCCTAGCTATGTATTTCTTTAGTTCTCGAATTACACATGCTAGGTCAGATATTTCAGTATTCAGTTATACATGCCTCAATTTATGAATGTATCATTATCAGATTAATTGTTACATTCTCAGTTTGCATGTTCAGTTCGAGCTATCCAGTATTCACAGAAATTCAGTCATAACCAGTTAACTACTTAATTCATTGGGAGTAGCATAATACCGAGTTGGACTAGGGTTCAGCGTACCCATATAGTCCCAGAACTACGAGCCACGTAGGTGTAAGTCCACTCTGTAA